CACTTTATCTTTCGGATTGCCTAATAAATTGCATAATTTTGACCCAGACTGATAAACGCTTTCAAAACCTAAGTCTTTGAAAACCTCATCAAGTCCCTTCGTATACTTGGGATTGTACGGGATTGGGATTCTTCTAGAGTTCTATTCATCCGCTTGAAAAGTCGTAGAATATCGAAGTGTTAACTCAAATTCATGTCTACGTATTAATTTATCTACTATTTTGATATCATACCCATTGACGCCAGCCACTTTATAAACAACATTTCTTTCAGCATCGAATCTTTCTTTGCTGAGAGAAAATGAAATCAATCTGTGAACTAGAAAATTTAAACTTGCCATTTTGTGCGGAAAACAGTGATTGGAGTCATTAGGTATGTATCTAAATGAGTTAATTTCTTTTCTAAAGACATCAAATTCTAAGTTGTTTTCGCTATTTTTGATCACAAGTAGGTACATCTAAGAAAGGTGATTTGCCTTGATTTTTGCATTCATAAGTGAATTTGCGAAAATGCGAAAATCAAGGCAGATTACCTTCAATCACAATCATAACACACATATTACTAACCTCAAATTAGTTAAGCAAGTTGATAACATTAGAAAACTAGACTCATATGAAAGCTTAGAGATATTTAAGGATAGTAATATAGTAATGAATAAGGATAATGGACCTATTCCATATAGCCCTCTATATAGTTTAGTAAAATAAAAATTTAGATTAACATGTGAACTCAACCATGACAAACATGACGGTTAGTATTTTTCACAGTTGGGTGAACATATACCTAGTATATAAGCAGCACATTAGAATAGGATATTTAGTTTCAATCTTCTCCTGAAGATGCTAACATAGTTAGCGAAACACGTGTCGAGGCGTTGAAAAATCGGTTTGGTTAGTGGTAAAACAGTGTAGTGTATTATCGTGCCAAAGGTTCCAGTCTTCGATAAAACTATAAATAACAAAATGGAAATGCAGATAGCATATGATAGATGACATGTGACCTGCCGGTGCTCATTGAATCTAAACGCTCAACTAACGTTTGACGGATACCACGTGACGCGCTCGTCAGAAGTAGAGGCCGTCAAAATGGCTACCACATACCTATATCACGTGACCTTCCAGTGCTTGTCGGCAGAAACACTCACAGTCGAGACAACCTACGAATTTTAATCAAAATGGCTATTGAAACACCTATGGCGATGATGACAAAATAGAAACTCGCTGCAAAAACTATCTACTATAGGTATGCCTAGCATATATCATACAAAAATGTCGAACAACTCTCAAACAAAACACGGAAGAAAACTTCGAGGGCTTTTCGATGTTCAACTCACGAATAATATACAATATCCTGAGATTCTAGTCAAAATCAAATCAAGATATACGAATAACCTACACTTTCACTGATAATGCTGAATATTTGACGAACGATGATGAGATGCAAGCCCAGACAGCTCATCCTTTCATCAAACAACAATCGAAACTCGTAATGGTTAGGGACGCTAGGGGTTATGGGTGGGTGGTTTAAGGGTATACCAATACCGCTATAATCACTTTTCGTGCCATACAATAGAGCATTAAACACGATTGTTGAGACGAAATCGGCGGAGATACATGCAAAAATCAATAACTATCTTATACTGTAGGAAAATTTACATTAAAATTCAGAAATATTTCTCATAAATTTTTCCCTAGATTCTACGGAAGTTACAATTTGCGGGCCATCAGAGCCTATGTAAAGCAGATTAGATTTTCCCTAGATCTAGGTACTTTTTCGAATGTGAATAACAAAATGCGTCAATAACAGGGTCGATATACAGAGTGTTTGATAAAGGACAATTCATGAATAGACCACCACACTTCAGATGGGCTTAGCAAACAGATAGCTGACGTATGGCAGATGACGTTTGACAGATGGCCATCGACAGATGACACGTGCTTGGGCTCCTTCGCTAGTTGATGCTTTCGTTCATTATACAGTGTGTTTGAATAGAGATATATACAGGTAACTCGTCGCCCACCTCAGATATGGATCCTACAAACATATACGTAACGTTTGACGCACTAGCTGATGATCCCGATCAATAGTGTGTTTGTGTTGGAGAGTATGTAATCGTGGGGTAGACTTTCCAAATAGTTGGAAGCCTTCGATGATAGCGAAATACCACGAACATACCATTGCGAGACAAATGATACAATGCATTTCGAGGTTATGTCAGAAATAAGTTATAAGGTAGTGTCGGTAGTGTCATCACTACAAGGTTTCACATACCCCATATTGATGGCAGACTATACCCTGTATAACAACTAATCTCATCGCGGAGATTTTCTGTTACAACTCGTACAACATAGAACGGTATTAACACTAATTGATCAAGACATCTGTCGCATAGGGTTATAATCTAACAAAAATGTAAACAATGTATTTCTTGTTTGGGCCACTCTGTGTAGGTAACAATAAAATTCTCAGTATAGAGTAGATTAGAAGAGAAAACATTCAAATAACGAAATCACGCTAATGGGCGTGTACACCTTAGTAGAACTTTGAACTCAAACCATGTTTATAATGATCCTTTTATACATAAATAATGATTGACGACATAATTCGATCGAAAAATCAACTGAAATGTATTATTTTTGAACATAAATGATAGTACCTTCTGAAAACGGACCCTCTTATGACGTAGAAAGCTCATAGTTAAAAGAAAATACCAAACGCTTGACGGAGACTGAGGCAACTGATATATTAATTCTTTCAACTGTGATCTCGCGCTAATTCACTCTGTCAGAAATCATGTATCATTCATCTCTGTCTGGGATAGTCTTGTTTCAGTATTAGGGTTTTGACATCACATCATCGCCTCGTTTTCAGAGATCCGAAAAATCGAGGATTTCAATAATTTTTCATAAAACGTAGGGAGCTCACAGCAAGAAACGGTTTGTGGTGGTGAGCTAGTTTGGGTGAGTTCTATCGAATTATAAAATGAAATATGTTTGTGATATAAGCCCTTTGAAGGCATTCATAGTTTTGAGCCGCCCTGTATACCAATAACATAATGAATTCAGGTTAAAAATTATCTATGCAAAAAACATCTAAATGCAATGTCGAATAGATCATTCATTATCCTTTTGTAGATTATGGTCAATGATATCTGCATAGCTCATTTCCTGTGTGTGTGATTAAAGTTCGAATAACAATATTTTTCTGTTATCAGAGTCATATTTCAATCTCTATCCGTGTTGGACATATGACAGTGTGTTTTCATTGCCAGAAAAAACATCTGTGAGGTGAAAGTTGATCTGTGTGGAAAATTAGAATGGAGTGGTCATTGCTGCATATACTCGTTCATTTCTGGATATATAGCTGTTGTTCAACGAAATTGGTAAGTGGCTTATTTTTCTGTTTTTCTCTAATCACGTTAAATTCCTCGCAGAATCGTATCTTGGCTATCATTCGAAATATTGCCCAACATCATCAATATAGAATTATCACAAGGTGACAATCACTTCGAACAGATATTAAGATTCCCTATGCTCATTTTAAATGACAATCGTATCCAAACAGTATATGACAAAAAATTCTATCACGAACGCTGATTCACAAAAACTGGGATTTTTATTACAGACAACAAACTACTCTACAAAATACAGATACGACCTGTTTTAGAATACTGTTTCTCATATGGGTTCAGCACTCACACATAGAGACAAGCCATACCAGAGAGACAAGTCATGTGCCTGGTGACCGATGCCACACTCACTAATTCCTAGAAAACATCTAAACATCATGAATGACTTGACGACCTCTCACGTTTCTACAAATACTTCTACGAAAAATGTTAATTCATCAACAACATTGAAACATCACAGAAAATTCGGTGTCTTTTCACTTTTTTACAGATACTCCCACGGGAAATGACTTCCAGGTATCTCTGCTATCATTCCATCACTAGCAATACCAGTCAAAATATGTTGGGAAACTTCATATCAAAACTCATTAAACGACTAAGTTCATCATAGAAAGTGTTTCCAAGATCTTCAAAGGTGGAATCTCCATTGATATACACTTTTTCAACCCCAACGACTTTTGTTTGCTTCGCTTGATGTTTGAAAGTGTTCCATCTAGTTTTTCTCGATTACCTTGGATGTGGTGGCAGTTTGTTTCGAAGGTGATGTCAGCGGTTGAAATATTTTCTGTAACGCTTCATCATCCTCAGACCTACGACATAATCTGGAATATCAACAAAAGTGATATAGAAAATAACATGAGGTTCCTATGGCGAGTAGGGTGGAAAGTTCAAATATATAAATTTGATGTGGAAGGATCACAATAATCATGTTCCTCTCACTATATTGATCAGTGTTAATCAAGATGTTGAAGAGTAAGCATGTGCTGTTGCTCTCAATCATAGCGTCAGTTTCTGCTACCGGGAATGATACAATAGAATATGCAGCCTCTTTTTTGAAGCGTTTTGGATACATAAATACAACGGATAATGCTGTCATCAACATTGAATCGGCATTAATGACATTTCAAGAGATGTACAATCTTCCTGTGAGTGGAACGCTGAATAACGAAACTAAGCTCCTGCTGAATAGCCCGCGTTGTTCTGTAGGAGAAAATAATTTCATGATACATTCGAAATGGAACATAACAAAGTTACGCTGGTATTTTCCTCAAGCTCAACAGGCGCATCGTGAAACAGTCAAGATGGCATTCGATAGGTGAGAGGAGATATCGAATTTGAAGTTTGAAAATGTGCGAAACCCTTACAGGAAAAAGCCTGATATTACCCTAACTGTTATTCGAAAAAATCACAATTTTCGAGCAGACTGCCAAGGCACTTCTAAGTGTCCATATAATTTTGACGGCCCTGGAAGAGTTTAAGCACATGCATATTCCCCAAATGAAAACAACAAATGTGTCGAGATTCATTTTGATGCAGAAGAAAAATGGTATATTGGAAATAGTACTTCTCCTGATGGCCAAACTAATTTATTGATGGTCCTGATGCACGAAATTGGCCATGCTCTTGGGCTGGGCCACAGTGGTGTCAATACAGCTACTATGTATCCTTGGTATCAAGCAAGTCCAGCATCATTCGATATAGATAATGAGAGAGCGATAGAATATTTGTATGGGCAGAAAACTGAAGACTATCAACCAACAACAACCTCAAAAACGCGGACAACCGAATCCCAAAAACCAATATCCCGGCACGTAGACACCCCTACCACAGCTTCATCAGTGCCGTCAAATGAACCCCATAACGTAGACGTTACTAGCACAACATCAAAGCCTCAGATAACTCCAACAAGATTATGCGACATTCAAGTGCCAGACTTCATGTTTCTAGCCACAGCACCCCAGTTTTGAAAATTATCGGATGTACGTGGGATACAATAGATTTTTGTGGAAGATCGATTTGAACGATATGCAAATTCCATCACAGCCAGAGCTGCTTGATGATTATCTCCCTGAAGATCTAAAGTATTCTAGAGTTTCTCATGTCTTCCGAAATTCTGGAGGTGATCTAGTGACATTGTTAAACGATAGCGTGTATTATGCAGCATCTTTTCCGAATTTTCAAATCCACCAGAACTTTAATTGTCCTTTGCCTTCTGAAGCAAAAATTAATGCTGTCTTCTAGACAAACAGTGGGCAGGTTTATTTGTTATATAACAACGATTCTCATATTGCATTAGATGACAATGGAGACATGACCAACCGTGGACCACTCAATCACGGCTTCCCAGGACGGAAATATCTATTTTTTCAATAGGAATACGTACTACAGATACAGTGAATATACAAGACGGGTTGTGAAAGCCGGACCGTTTAGCTAGAGCATCTTTGGAATATCCTGCCCCAATGATGAATTACTTCATCAAATGAAATCATTGCTTCTGAAACTTGTATCACTTCACGAATGAATGATTAAATATTATTTTGTTCAATTTCAATTGTCACATGTGTGCTGTGATTCCCAACCACGTGTGCTCAGTATGACGTCCAAGCATGTGTGTTGAGAAAATAATCAATTTTCATACATAGATAATATCAGGCATGGAACCGAAAACCTCAAATAAGTTGTTCAAAAGAATGGAATAGTCTGTGTTCATTGAAATGTATGTAGACATAAATATGAATATACTCTAATATTAACGAAAAACGACTTAATTGCAATTAATGAAATACCTTCTTCGTTTTTCAAAAACCCACCCTTCATACTTTATCAGGGCCTCCTCCTCCTACCCATGCATTCACAGGCAATAACACACTTCAGCGGAGGGAAGCTCGTAGACTTCTCGTACAGTCAGCAAGAAAACATGATATTTCTATTGCCATTCAATGGCTGTGTATCCCCTCCTTTTTTGGCAGTGTGTGGGTGTAAATGGCAATGTGGCTGGATAAATGGCAGTGTGGCAGGGTTAATGGTGGTGTGGCGGTGCGAATGTCCGTGTGGCTGGGTAAATGATGGCGTGGCGGGGTGATATGCGGTGTGAATGGCGGTGTGGAAGAGGTGAATGGCGGTGTGAATGGCAGTGTGGCTGGGTAAATGGCGATGTGGCAAGGTGTATCGGGCAAAAACATCAGTCGCTGTCCTGACTTCTTATGGCTAACATCATAGTGAGGAGGAAAAATATTACGTCTTGAGATGTTTGCTTGTCAGCATTGCAGCAAGAAATTCAAGGGGGCCTATGGTTTGAAGCGGCATATGGATAGTCATAATGAAAAAGTTTTCAACTGTCATTATTGTATGGAAAAATTCACAAGATTGGATAGTATGAAAAAACATTTGGCGAGAAAGTAGATAGGAAACGAGCCGGATAATCAACAAAACAAATCGACCACCACTGAGATCGGTCAAAGAAACGAGTCAAACTCTACTGATATTGATTAACAATAATTGACGCGGATCCAGTCAAACTCTGGGATTGGTCAGCGATTGAGTCAAAACGATACTATCACGGATGGCCCTCGTGAGAATAAAATCGGAGATAGGGATCAGAAAATTATGGACCTATCTCAAATCGTAAGAAATAAATATTTGGCGCTTGAACAACTGACTGACATTAAAGCACCTATAAAGCGTTCAAATACAGCATGTCTGAAGATGATCAAGCCAAGTGAGGATTAGTGTCCTGTCAAGCATTCGTCTCACATTTAGAATTTCCATAAAAGTACACAGTATTCAACAAGAGATGGCAGCAACTTCGTCATTCTGAGAAGAGGTGGAATAATAGGAGGAGGAAGCTCCAGGAAAGGAGATGGAATAAGATTTGAGCATAAATCGTGTAGAGGTCGTTTGGTATTTTAGTTGAAATAAATAGTATTTTTGAATCTTGTTTGATTATACGACCTGTTTTAGAATACTGTCTCCACATATGGGGTTCAGCAACCACATATACGTTAATGCTTCTAGATTCCATCAAGAGAGACAGGTCATCCGCCTGGTGAGTGATGCCACACTCACTAACAGGATCGGTTAGAGAGTAGGCCGACATCATTGGTTGGGATTGATGCTATATCGACCTGGACTATTCAATCTACAATATGTTAAATCTATTGCCTAGCGATGTTTCACAAACATGATAAGCATTTTCTTCAGTGCGCTTCAAGTGATTAAAGAATAATAATCCGACACCTATCATAGTGCCAAACATTTGGATAACGTATAACAGGAATTAACTACATAAACAAAAATATTCCAACAGGCTATCATGCATTAGGAAAAATCATATATGTCTTGTCAGGTGAACTTTCCACCAATTTCATTGGAATGAAATGATCACAGGGTGCCATTTATTTCTACCCAAAATGAAGATACTAATGCTGATCCTGAACGAGAATTGAAATCAGACAGTATACGATACCCGGATATTTATCACGAAAGTTTCAACACAAAAACTAGGAATTTTATTGTAGACAACATGCTACTCTACAAAATTCAGTTACGACCTGTTTTAGAATACTGTCTCCACATATTGGGTTCAGAAACCACATAAACGTTAATGCTTCTAGATTCCATCAAGAGAGACAGGTCATCCGCCTGGTGAGTGATGCCACAATCACTAACAGGTTAGGTTAGAGAGTAGGCCGATATCATTGGTTGGGATTGATGCTATATCAGCCTGGACTACCCAAACTACGATAGGTTACATCTTTTTTATTGATGGCGTGTTTGTTTGTTCGTCGGACGAGCGGAGCGAGTCTGATAATCCCAAACGAGCCACCAAAAAAATAGATCCAACCTTAGTAGTAGGAGTAGGAGTAGGAGTAGTACAAGACGACTCTGAAGGATATATAACGAGTTCAATGGGCAAATGAAGTTACATCGACTTCATGGGTGTGCACACTCTATCTCTATCCTATCATCTCACATGGATGATATTGAAGGAAACGAGTTCGCAATGCCCATATGAAACGACTTCTAAGCGGGTATAACGCACACAACTTGCAGAATAAGAAACTACGACTTTGTTTACACATACATACAAAAGGCAGATGAACAGCATGCAGAGTGTAAACAGCATATGTATAGCTCCACAATAATACCACTGTTAAGTAGTTTATACGAATCCAATAAATTTGGAAAAAGTATCAAAGTGAAGTTTGTGAAGTGCTCTGTGTAACTGTGCTACATAAAAATACAACAATTCATGTGAATATTGAATAATAACCCTCTAAAGATTGCAAATAAATTCCCATTTGAGTGACACGTAGAAAATAACAAAAACACTTGTTAGGCAAAAAAGGCAACATCTCCTTATCACAGAGTAGATATCAGCTATTTGCCCGTATTTTATCTGTAGTTTTTTTCTTTGGGTGATTCCTCTGAACTTTTTCTGCCATGGCAACCAGATGTTTCAAATGCAAAGTGGAATTTGAGGAGAATGAATCATTTTTTGAATGTGACTCATGTAGGAGACCCATTCACACCAACTCAGCCTGCTCCGAATTATGCCCCAGCGAATTGAAATGTATGCAGTTGAAAAGGAGATCACTACAGTTTCTCTGTGAAGAATGTACGTCCGGCCTTCGTCAAGTTCCAGCTCTTATAAAAGCTATTTCCGACCTGAGAAATGAAGTTGAAGCAATGAAAATGGCCAAGCCACCTATGCCTCAGAATAACGTTGGAGAAATGGATAAAGAAGACGTGATTCATGAAATGCTTGAGCGTCAAAATCGTGCATCAAACCTCATCATGTTGAACATTAATGAATCACAATTAAAGACTCAGGCCGAAAGAATCTCACAAGATACAGAAGCTGTTAAAAGAGTTCTTGAAAATTTTAACGTATATAAAAACAATTTGAAACTGTTCAGATTAGGGAAAGCATCAGCAAACAAAACTCGTCCTATCAAAGTAATACTACAATCGGCAGACGATGCTAAATATGTTCTCAGAAATAAGCAACTCATAACAGTTCCAAGTATAAAAATCTTTAGCGACCAGACTAGAGCTCAGCGAGAGTACTATCAAAGGGTAAAAGCAGAATTACAAAACCTGATTGAAAACGGTGATAACTCAAAAACAATAAGATATATAAATAATAAACCTGTAATTGTCAACAAAACTTTGAATAATGCTTCAAAAAAGTAGAAAATCATTGTAATATACATTTAAACACAGACATTATATACCTGAATATTCAAAGCCTTCTTAAAAACAAAGATCAACTACAAGAAAGTCTAGTTTGCTACAACCCAAAAATTATATTACTAAGTGAATCCAGAGTAACCAATGATATCGAAGAAGTTGAACTGAAAATCCCCAATTACAATATAGTACGCTGTGACTCAAAAAGTCGACATACAGGTGGTGTCTCAATATACATTAAAAATGACATTGAGTACTCTGCCTATAAAACATATATATTAGAAGGAAATTACTGGTGCAAAATTTTGAAGATTAAACTTAAGCTCCCTATTTTAGTCGGATGTCTTTATCACTCGCCCTCAGGATCTGATGCAAAATTCTTAGATGACTTTGAAGATATCTGTGATAGTTTATTTTTGACAAAACTTCATTGCATTTTAGTAGGCGACTTCAATCTGAACTACTCTGATGATAGTTTTTATGTTTCTAGATTGAAAAACCTCCTCAATACGTACGGTATCTCGCAAATAATCAAAGAACCAACTAGAGTTACTAACCACAGCCGAACGCGAATTATTCAAAAAATTGAGAAATGATGTTGTCAATGTGTTGAAAAGAAAAAAAGACCAATATTATTTTGAAAAAATTGATCGGTATAAAAATAACTCTAGACAAATGTGGAAAACCCTCAAAAAGCTTGTTAAAGGTGATGATATTGACTTTCCAAACTGTATACAGTTTGAAAAAACTGGCGAACTTAAATTACTAAGAG